TGTCACACTTAAGTCGATGACCATGTTTTAGATGTCGAAGCCGGCGGGGGGGGCATGGTGGTAATCCAGGTGAACAGAGTTTCGGGCTTGCGGTAATCCTCGGATCCGTGGAACTTCAAGATCTGACGAGGGAGCAGACGTTTGGGCTGCTCCCTACCATGCGGATAGGCACAGTCGTCGAGTGGACTGGTGCACAGAAGTGCTGGGATGGGGAACAAGGGGGAAGGTGGAGATGTGAGGGAAAATGACGACATGGATGAGGCGGCGGAGCAAATAGAGCGCCAGCGATTGTTGTCAGGAGACAAGAGCGAACAATTGTAGTGGACGGACGGGGTGAGCGGGAGGTGGAGGCAAAGGATGAGGAGTGCAACATGGCGGAGTGTGAGGAGGGTGCTGAGGAGGCGTCTCGTCCACGAGCTGGGGGTGCTGCTGGTGGGACACGGGTCAGACTGCGAGTGTGAGTAGGTGTAAGCAAGATACCGAACTAAACCGGCTCGGTTTTTTTTCATCAAAACGTTTGGTTCTATTTGGTATCGAATCGAACCAGTTTGAAACAAACCGGCCGGTTCGGGACTTGACCCGATAATGACCCGACCCGGAATCGGATCAAAATAGTGTAAATCGGGTCTGCCCGACCTGTGGTGGGTCAAGAATATCAGAATCACAGAATATTTTTCCAACAGGCTCGAACCCTAGCTACAGAGGCACGTTTTTGTCGACTGTTTACATAGACTGGCGCTAGGGTTGGGCTGAGTTCAATGTTGAGATGTGTTAACGGTGTGTTGTGGGGGTTGGGTCTTGTAGATCCAGTGCGGTGGGCAGTGGCGAATTGGTTAAGATTGTTTGTTTTAACAAATTTGTTGGGAACGAGGGAGTGCCTAGGCTCAGTAGATGATAGGTAAAATCACGATTAGCGCCGATCTGCGCAGATAGACGGGCGAAAGATCAGCGGGCGAATGATCAGAGGGCGAAAACGAAGATTTGCGCAGATCAATGGGCGAAACGCCGATTTGCACGGATCAGCAGGCGAAAACGCTGATTTGCGCGGATTGGCGGGAGGAATTAGACATGAGAATCGATCGAACACTGAACATGTTCGCCCGAACATTTTTTCTAACATTTCTGGTGTTGGTAGGGAGGCGAAAATGTTAAGGGTTCACGAACATCTGCAATGTTCGGGCGAACCCGAACATGTTCGGTTCGTAATCCCAAAGGAGATCCCTAAGTCACCCAAGATATTGCTAGGCTGGAGAGCCTAGTGAAGAAACAAAAAACGCAAAATCATGGGAGAATGACGGGAAACATAATTGGTGGGGTGTGTTAGGGTTTTCCTTCCTGGGCTGACAGGAGAAACAATTGGTGGGGTGGGAGAGGTTCGCACAATTTGCGTTCCACACTTTCGACTTGATCTGCATGAAATTCTATTCGCGACAGCGATTTCGCAAATTTCGCTCAACCAGCCCACCCCACCCAAAACCCACAATACCGCAATGCACCTCCCAAACTAACTAGTCCTCGTACACAAATCTGACGCAAGGTAACACACACTCACTTCACACACTAATCTACTCCCGCTACTACGCTAAACCTAATCCAAGCGCTAGATCCGACTATAAGGAATATATACAACCAATGCGCAGGGCAGCCAATGTCGCGCTGGTTACTCAGCGAACATTCAGGCGTTCGCGTAACATTGGGAAATCACGAACATGTTCGATGTTCGTGATTATTTCCCTGAAATGTCGCGAACACCGATCATGTTCCGGCCGAACATCGAACATGTTAGGACAAACAATTTAGGCAAAAAAAATATGTTCGGTTCGGTTTGGTCACAAACATGTTCAGACGAACCGAACAGGAGTTCTGAATATTGCTCATGTCTAGACGCAATGAGTGCCACGACAAATACAGAATACGAATAACAAGCCCACGAATGTGTGGGATGTGGGTATGCTAAAGCATGGTACCAAAAAGAAGCATTACCAATTTGTGTCATATTTCCTGGCAGTTGCGCGAGCTGGTGTTTCTGTGTGCAGGTTGGACCGTGTGTTACCATCTGGATAGACTGTTATGCCAGAAGTAACAGTGGGTGCACACGAGCAACGCCCGAACATGTTTGTGACCGAACCGAACATGAACATTGTTTTGGCAAAACATGTTCGTCGGAACATGTTCGACTTTCGGGAAGGGGGTAGGGGAGGCAACGGGGGAGGAGCTGATCCACTGAAAACACGCTCTCGAACCTCGAACGTGTTCGGGTTCGGCCCGAACATGCAGTGTTCGCCCCCCTATCACGAACACCGAACACAATAAATTCCCAAAAAATATTAGGGCGAATCGAATCTTCACATGTGGGAACAGAGTGAACCGAACATGTTTGGTGTTCGCTCGCTGCTCATGTCTAGTGCGGACTGGGCGCGGGACGTAAAAGAGGGTGCAGACCGGGAGCGGGTCCGCTGGAGGCAGCAAAAACTGAGTTGCCACTAGAGGGGGACAAAGCATAGTTGCGGAATGTCGTGACATCTGGTACAGTGAGAGTCACCAAGGCGTTTATGGCCTTCACAGGCAGGGATGAGCACTGGTTGAACCGGATCCAGCCTTGTTCGAACCGAGACACTTCGCCCTGGAACTGGACCGAACCAGGTTCGGCCTGCCCTAGAACGGCCGAGAAACTCCTCGGCCCAGGTCCGCCTATTTGTACTCAGACAGAAAAAGTTCGACCAGTTTTGGCCCGACCAGAATCGGTTAGATTTCGGCCCGGGTTACTTTCGGTTTATGCACATCAAATGATCACTGCTGTGTCCTCACGTTCTATGGGTTGGGTATTACACAAAATCCTAACCTCATCCAAATGTGATCACCCGAAATCTCCAACTCACCAGCTGGAGATTTCAGTTTTCTCATAAAAGATTGCTCCGCTTCCTTTCTCACTCATTCGTCTACTTCAAGAATGATTGGATCGTACTCTTACATTTACATACGATTTACATTAACTGTGAGGCTAGACATGAGCACAGGGACGAACACCTGTTCGGTTCGCCTCGAACTTTGGACAGAAGTGTTCGGGTCGAACATGTTTGTGTTCGGTTTGCCACGGCTAGCCAAGCCGCACCAAACAAAAACACGTTCATGTTTGACATCACTTTCCAACAAACACAAAAGTTTTCGTGGAAAAAGTCCCTCAACCCTTTGTTTAGGTCGACAGGACACACTAGTCGAGCTCATTTCAAAGCCCAACTTTTGCCTAACTCCCCTTCCACAGCCTACACTACAAGCTCTAGCAGCTAGGTCACGTAAAATCTTCAAAAAATTTTAAAGAAAGCTAACTCTACTCTCTAGTGTGTCATTTCCATCAATCCCAAACGTCTACCGGGTATAGCAAAACCACCCTGGTCGCCAAAATCCACCATTTCTAAACATTGTGACTAAAATGAAGGTTGCCTACAGGTGAACATGGACATGTTCGTCCCAAACATGTTCGTGCTCAGAACGAACACGTTGGCGTTTGGGGAGATAACTACTACAACGGGAGCTAGACTACGGGCTAGACTCGGGTGCTCGTGTGATCTCTGCATTCGTTGGTCCTTGGTCGTTTTAATAGTGCACACACAGCTTGCTAGTTCACAGGGAGAATTGGCAGGAGTTTCACTAGAGAAAGTTGACAACAATGCTACAATGAAGTTGGCATGGCAAGACTACATCAGAGCTAGCATTCAGGTTGGTCGACTGCCAGCGCAGCATGGTCGACCGCGTTCCAACACGACTTGGTCGACCGCGCTCCAGCAGTGCAAAGTCGACGGCGTGCCAACGTTGCAGGTTGACGGCATGCCAACGCTGCTCCCGCAGAACAACATCGCACCAGCTTCGCAGGTGCTCGCAGATGATTGGCGTGCAGAGCCTTGTCACCTGCACAGCGCACACACCAAGTCAACCTGGTGCTGATGACTGCCTCTGATTAGCTACGTCGACCTCGGGATACCACCACCGAGGTCGGGCTCGCCAACTTCTAGGGATGAGCATAGGGACCCGGCGGGTCGGGTCGACCCGACCCGGCCCGGGTTTTGACCCGGGTCGGGTCAGGAGTTCTGAATAAGCATGGGCATTTGACCCGGACGGGTCGGGAAAACCCGGACGGGTCGGGTCGACCCGTGACCCGTCACAGTTATTTAGTGACGGGTTTTTGCGACCCGCCGGGTCGGGTTGACCCGTCCCGTCCGGGTCGCGTACCCAGTCAAATGATAGGGTTACCCGACCCGTTTTCGGATTAGGGTAGGGGTTGAACATCGGTTGGTTTTTTAGGTTTTTTTTCCCTCGACATTCTGATCTAGTCGCTAGACTAGATCAAGGCTAGTACTTCTGCGCTGCAGCTAGGGAGCCTCATACAATCTTCACTCTTCAATGTTAGCACTATTTAAACTGCATATTATCTTCAGGTTAGGGTTTGGCGCTCCCGCCATTTCGCAGCGTCGCACGACCAGGGGCGCAGCAGCGCGCGGGCGGCCACGCATTGGCGGGATCGCGTCCCCGCAATAGCGCGATCTCGGCCCCGTGTTTGCTCAGCGCGATCACGGCCCCGCATTGGCGCGATCGCCGCCCCTCATAAGCGCGATCGCGGCACCGCATTAGGACAAGGCGATCGCGGCCAGGTTCAGCATCGCGATCAGGCAGTGTGATAGGGCAGCGCGATCGCGACCACCTTCAACAGCGCGAAGGCGCCACCTTCAGCAGCGCGAAGGCGCCACCTTCATCAGCGCGAAGGCGCCACCTTCAGCAGCACGAAGGCGCCACCTTCATCAGCTCGAAGGCGCCACCTTCAGCAGCGCGGAGGCGCCACCTTTAGCAGCGCCAAGGCGCCACCTTCAGCAGCGCGAAGGCGCTAGATTGAACGGAATATGAACGGGGAGTCTAACCAAGGAGGCGGAGATGGGAATGAAGAAGGACGAGCTCTGCCAGGTGCTAGTTTTAATCGACTTCTAACACCTGCAGCACGAACCAGCTTTATGCTGGGTAGTGCTCTACAACACCCTGTTGAGACCGATGGCGGAGATGCAGGGGGTGAGAAACATGATTCCTACTGGCCTAGCAGTCCTCATCGAGAGTGGCAGGGTGGTGGGCAGACCCGTGATGAAACAGGCGATGATGATGAGTATAGGCCTACTGTAGCGGAGGTCGAGGCGGCAGCGGCAGAGGACTCTGCAGCGGGGGCGGGAGGGGACCCGAATGTGGAGGAGGAGGTGCAAGAGCAGGAGGAGGAGGGTGCTGGCCGCAATGCCAGGGAGCATGGAGGGGATAATGGACGGGGAGGAAGGGGTCGAGGGGGTCGTGGGGGGGGACGAGTTGGTCGCGGGCAGGGTCGGTCTTCTGCGCGTGCGCAGGGCGTAGGCAATGCAGGGGGGCACAGTGGGGGGCATGCTAGCGGTCCCCCAATAGATGGACGAGGTGGGGGGAGGGTTGGGAGGGTTGCGCATAGTGCTGCAAGGGCTGGGCGCGGTGGCAGTGGTGGTGGGAGAGCGGCCGAGGCTGCGCCCGATCCAGGGCCAAGGAATGCACCCACTCAACGGTCCGATGGTGTTGGGTCTACGCCGTTGCGTGCCGGTGGCATCAGTCGGGGTGGTGGGACAGCGGGGAGTCGTGGGCGTGCATCAAAGCGTCAACGAAAGGAGGATTTGTCTAAGGATTCGGTGGTTGAGGGTTTGGCAGGGAAGCACTACCTTGGTTTACTTGTGGGAATGTTTGGTGAGCTTGAGGATGGTTGTCGTCCGTGTCAGGTGTGTGGGGACGTAATGGGATGGGATGGGGTTAGCACGGGGACTGGGTGGAAGCATGTCAAGCGCGCGCACTACCCTAATGTGCAGATTTGGGTGCGGCGGTTCCTGGACCCGGCGAAGCCAAAGGACCTAGAGTTTCCTTGGGGCGGCTATGGCGTGTCGGGCGATGGGCCACCAGTGCCCAACCCGCACGGTGGTGCATGGGAGCACGCGGCTGCCTGGCCGAACATCCTAGCTGCTGCAGCCGCAGCGGGCAGTGGCGCAGGGGGGGGGGGGGGGGGGGGGGGTGAGTGGGAGTCGTAGTGGTGTTGGCATGCACGCGTTCATGAGTCCAAGGGTGTCGCTGGACGAGTTACGCAGTGCTCTCGTAGAGTTGTTTGCTGATCCGGATCTTCCGTTTCGTCTTGTCAACCGAGCTTCGGTGAGTCAAACAACAACTACTCTACCCTCTATTCCTGCACCGGGAGTCTCAAATCCTGTCTGAACATCTCAGCTGGGTTGGGATGCCCTGGTACACAGCTGGGACAATGCTTTGTGTGTGTTTGCTTCTTTGTCCCTGTCCGACCTCACCAGTTCTGTCGATTTGTCGCCTTGCTGAATCCATCGGCCAAGGATTTGCTGGGGTCACGTTACCGTTTGGCACGGGACATGCAAGCATTCAGTGAGGTGGCTCGAGAGGAGCTGAGGAAGGAGATCGTTGGCGACGGTCTCGCGGGGAGGGTGTCCCTTAGCTTGGACATCTGGACCAGTGAGAACCATACAGCTTTCATGTGTGTGACCGTCCACTGGATCACTAGTGAGTTCAGGCTACGTTCGGGGATTTTGGATTTCGTGCAGTTTGGAGGGTTCGCACACAGGGTCTCTCATAGCACAGACCCTCGAGCGCATCTTGACCGAGGCTGGCCTGCAGGATGTAGTGTTTGCTGTGACGACGGACAATGCGGAGAACAACAACAAGGCGATGCGCCTTCTGTCGGGGGACCCAGCAGAGGGGCCAGGGGCCTGGACAGCTAATCCACTGCTCGACATTGCGCGTCACGTTCGGTATGTCCTGTCATGCATCGATTCAAATGTGGCACTTTGGCAGCATACTGTAGTAGTAAATTTATCACGAGGTCGGGCCTCAACCTTAGCTAAATCTGTTTCCTTCCCTTATGCCCTTTCCGTACACAGCTGTCTTGCACATGTCATGAACATTGCAGTGCAGGAGGCATTGAAGTTGGACGATGTGAAGGAGGCGTTGAAACGCCTACGAGATGCGTGTTCGTACATTGGATGGTCGGTCCAGCGGTCAAAGGCTTTTGCCAGTCCGCAGCGCAGGTTGGCAGGCAGAGACAAAGCGAAGGTGCTACGTCTGATCTCCGACTCGCCTACACGTTGGGGCTCCACTTACGAGATGATCTGCCGCGCCTTGGAGCTGCAGCAGGCACTGACGGTGTTTTTCAGCCGGACTGACGTGAGTGATAGGCTCTGGTAGTGTGTATATGTTGGGTGATGGTGAGTATACGGGGCTGGTGTGGAGCACCAAGGGTTGTGACTATATTGAATGGTGAGTTTGGGTAGCTGGTCGGGGGCTAGAGGAGTTGTGACTGTATCGAATAGTGAGTGTGGGAGAATGGTGTGGCGCCCAAGGGTCGTGAGTATGGGCAGGATTTGAAAGGGGGTTGAGTTGTCTAGCATAGTTTGTCGGTATGTCTGAAGAGGCTATATGAATGGTGTATCAGCTCAATGTTGGGACCCATCTAGTAACGAGTAACTTCATCACCATTGTATACTAAGTTTGTGAACCCTCTGTACCACCCTTGTTGTTGTCCTATACCAGCCCCCCCCCCCCCTAGGCTACGCGAGAAGCTCGACAAAATACGTCTCAGTGACGTCCACTGGGACGCGCTTGTCGAGCTGAAGAACTTTCTTCAGCCCTTCCACTCGATCACCAAGGTAGCTGAGGCTTCCTTGTACCCGACAGCTGCAGCGGTGGTGCCGCTGTACAACCAACTGCTGGACAATATGGAAATCACCTACCGCGAGCCAGCCGTCTCACCCCTCACACAGGCCCTCATCACCAAAGCCCTCGGCAAGCTGAAGAAGTACCCGTACGGCACCAAGGAAGAGTTGGCGATCACCACCTTCCTTGACCCCCGCTACAAGACCATCTTCTTCCAGATACCCCAGTGGGAGGCGCTCAATGCAGCGCAAGTGACAGAGGTGGGGGGATGTGCTAGGAGTGTGCAGGGCGTGGATGAGCCGACGGTGATGCGCCTGGTGCGCGATCGTTTGGTCGCATATCAGGAGAGAGTGCGCAGTCGGGGAGGTGGTGGTGAGGTTACGAGTGGCATGGGGGAGGTCACTGACAGCGCTGGTGTTAGTGTTCAGGCCGCAGGGACGTCGCGTGCCGCTGGCAGCGGGGGGGTTAGCTTCGAAAATGCGCTTTTTGCACAGATGGATGCATTTGAGGCAGCAAGGGGGGGGCGGAGAAGTGACGAGGTGGACATATACTTGGCTGAGGGTAGACAGAAGGGTTGCCCGCTAGCGTACTGGCGTGATAGGAAGGATTTAGAGGGTTTGAGGGAAATGGCAGTGCCAGCCACATCTGCAGCGAGCGAGCGCGCTTTTAGCCAGGGCAGGAACGTAGTGACATGGCAGCGTCACCGCTTGAGCGCCCCTCGTGTTAGCGCCCTCATGGCTATCAAGTCATGGATGGCGCAGAACACGAGCGGCAGGTCATTGAACGTGGCAGGGGCTGCGCGTTCGCTTGTGGAGTTGTGCTATGAGGCCGAGGACGATGGGTTTTGAGTAATGTTTGCTGCGGAGGGTCAAGCCTGACCCGGCACTCGATACCCGGGTCGGGCCAGAGATCTCAAAAGTTCCGACCCGACACGACCCGGAACCCGGCTGGCCCGCCAAAGTCGGGTCCGGTCATTTGATCATACCTACCAACTTCGACTGGGCGACTGTCGCACTCCTCCGCAGAACCTCGTCACCCAGGTTATCTGGTCGACCGGGCAACCACGTCGACCAGCTGCTCCTGTCCGTGCCCGTCGACCTCCCAAGTTGACGGCCACCTCCAAGTCGACCTCATAAGGTCGACCACGCCCCTGGTCGACCAGCTCCACGTCGACCAACAGTCCTGGTCGACCAGTTTCATGTCGACCAGCGTAGTTGTCGACCGACCACCCAGGTCGGCTACCCGAAGTCCGCGTCACGAAGTTGACGCCAAGCCACTCTACGCCCAACTGTTCGGCGTCCTGAGTCGAGGTCGACGGCGGCCCCTCCTTCGTCGACCACCAGGTCAGGTCGACCACCAGCAGGTCGACCAGCAGTCCGTCAGCCGACCACCCAAGTCGGCTGCCCCAAGTTGACGTCACCAAGTTGACGTCCTCCGCAGGTCGACCTCCCAGGACGACCTCCCTGAAGTCGGCGCCCGTGCAGTGGCCCCCGTGCAGGTCGACCTCCTTGTCAACCAACTCGCCCACTGCTGCAGGTCGGCTGCTCCCCTCACACCCGACCACGAAGTCGGCTTCGCCCAAGCGAGGACGGGGCCAACACACAACTCCCGTTGACAGCGTTCACCCCTTTGGCGGACGCCGGATACCTCTTTCATCTGTTTGTGTTCGGCCGAACACAAACATGTCCAATTCGCCAAACACGAGTGCTCGAGGCAAGGCAAACACGAACATGTTGTGTTCGCCTTTCGCTCATCCATATATAAGGTTGTGGACGTGTTCATTTTAGAGAATAGATCAGTGAACTTCGTGGCACAATGAGAAAAAAAAAAAAGTATCTTTAGTAGGAACATAGTATAAGCCTGAGACGCTAGAGCAATGTCCTTGTCCAAAGATGAGTTGTAGTGAAGTAGGAAACTACATACATATGGCTGAACCCTTGAGGCTAGCTGCAACACCTCAAAACTGAGGGCAAGGCTAGCCAACCTTGCAAAGCTAGCAACTGAGGCCTCATGTTTCACATGTGGGCCAGGCTGGAACAACCCACATGGCAGCATATGGCATTCCATACGGACCAGCAAGGTGAGCATGGGATGCGTGGACAAGTGGCAATGCCAAATGTGACCACACTTCACTGTGGGTTGTCAACGAGAGTAGTGTTTGTCCCCGTCCTCGCTTGGGCGGAGCCGACCGCGGGGGGGCGCGGGACCCCAGGACCGCGGGGGGGCGCGAGACCGCGGGAGGCAACAGTACCGCGGGACCGCGGGGCCGCGGGGGCCGCGGGACCGCAGGGGCCGCAAGACCGCGGGGGCCGCGGGGGGCCGCGGGGGCCGCGGGACCACGGGGGCCGTGGGCTGGGTTTGGGAGGTTCATTGCAGTACGGTGGATCTTGGGTGGGAGGGCTGCTTGGGAAAAAAATTTGAAATCACGGTCGCGATTGAAGGCAAGTCAAATCAGATTGTGACACGCGAAAATTGGGGAACTTCTCTCCATCGATGGTTTTTTTCCGTCAGCCCGAGGAGCAAACCTAAACGCAATACCCATTCCCGCATGAAGAGCGTATTGCAAGGCTTAAACAGCCGAAACAGCTCAAACAGGTCAAACAGATTTGACCAGTCCGAGTCGAACTCAGATCAAGTTCGCCTCGAATCAAATGGCGAAAAAAGGGCCCTGGTTCTGTTTTTTGCTCGATTGTAGTGTACGAACAGCAAGAAACAGACAGGAAAATCACATTCAAAGCAAATTGGAAGTTGAATAACTTACCAATATTGGGAAGTTTCTGAACAAGGTGGAGATCAGAGGAGATTAACAAAGATTGGCAAATCAGTAGGAGAGTGGAGAGCAGCAAAGGGCTTACAGGGTTGTCAGCTTTGTCATGTTACCAATCTCAGCAGGAATGGAGCCAGTGAGCTGATTGCCATAGAGATACCTGAAGTGAGCAAGAATGAGATGGGATGCCAAGGGAAGGCAAGCGAAGCAGCAGTAAGCAGGGAAAGGCAGACAGGTCATGTTTTCGAGAGTGTGTTTTCAGGGTTTAGGGTTCGAGAGTGTGTTTTCAGGGTTTAGGGTTCGAGAGTGTGCTTTCAATGGGCCAGCTTCTCCCACGTCGCCTTCCCTCTCCTCCTCCCCCGAGATGGGTCGGGATTCCCTAAATCGGGTCGGGACGAGTCGGGTTTTGACCCGACTTGATATCGGGTCACACAGGGTAATTGGGTCGAGTATCGACCCAACCAGATTTCGACAGGGGGCCCGATTTCATCTGAGGGGCCCTAAAAATGGTAGAATGGCAGACTTTTGAACCCTAGCTAGAGGCAACTACAAGTCGACATGTGCAGAGGCTCAATGTCGAGAGATCTGTAAAGGGTTGGAGGGGGGGGGGAGGGGGGGGGGGGGGGGGGAGGGGGGGGAACTGTAGATTCCAGTAAAGACTGGTAGACACTGAGCAGTGCTTATGTGAATTGGTTGGAAATGTTTGTTTGAACACATTTGCTGGAAGCGAGTGCCTTGGCTAATCTGATATAATACAGGCAAAATCCAGATCTTTCATATCAGCCATAAAAAATGGCGATCTGCACAGTAAGGCCAACTAAATCGGCGATTTGAGCTTATCGGTGGGCGAAATTGCCAATCTGCACAGAGCGAGGGCGAAGCAGGTTTCATGTACCCGACCCGACTCGAGTCGGGCCTTGTATCCCCGGGTCGGGTCAAGGATTCCAAAAGCCTGCCCCAGCTTGACCCAACCCGACCCGACCCGAAAACCCGCCTGGCCAAATCGGGTTGGGTCGTGTGAGAGTACGACGGCTTATGCCAGCTATGCTTGCTTGCCTCTACTTTATCATGCTATTTCTAGCATAGCATAATCATATGCATGCATGAATTGCTTGATTTCCTAGGCTAGGTGCTTTCCTATATTTTATTATAGTTATAGCACCGAGCTAGGTTGCGTGCACCGAATTCTGGCTTTCCGGCTGCCACCGAATTGCCTTCTACCGAATTCGGTAAGGATCTGTTCGGGACGCTTCGCGACCCGCGGAACCTTCGCGTAACACCTGGTTACGGGGCCTTGTGTCGAGCCTATATATAGCCTCGTGTTGTACCCAAGTGATCATTCAATTCAATTTGAATCATCTTTTCTGAGCTCGATCCCAGATCCTCACAGGTCGGCTCGCATCGAGTCATTTGCTCATGCCTAACATGAGCAAAAAACTTCACCACCAGTCTGCAAATCTAGATTAACGAACGAAAATGTTCACCAATCTATCTGTTTCATAAGCTGAGCATACGTTGTGGACTTATGTTGCATAAAATGGCATTGGCTAACATACACAGTAGCATTACGCCACTTGCGTACTTGTGTGCGACTTACAAGCTAGTGACTTGAGCGAGAGCACTGATGCTAGTAGGGATGTTGCCTGTAAGCCGGTTCGTGGAAAGATTTCTGAGATTGAAAAGGCAAGCAGCAGGGCCATGGAGATAAAGTACATAGTCAAACGGAGAGTGCATACGGATGCAGGTGAACGTACTGAAGTAAGCTAGAGGTCGCGCTTCTATTCATGATGATGGACAATGATTTTCAACCACCTGAAAAACCTGTGGGCCAAGAAAGCCCAAATTGATTCAACCTTCCTAACTTCCGTTGAGTGTGAGCCTGGCACCCAAAATCTTGGTCAATTTCATTGCTCGCCCCAACCAACTTTCCTAACGTTGAAGTTCTTTCCCCGCGGGTTTTAAATGCAAACTTGCAGCTGACGCTCTGAGCGCCAAACGCCAGCATCTTCACGCTTATGTGTTGAAGCTTGAAGCTCATATTGACACTTGTCCTATTTTACTTACCGATACAAACAATACTGCTCGCCAATTTGCGAAATGCGGTTCTAGCACAATCGCGACCGGTAAACTCAAAATCGGCAAAAATCCGCATTCTTGAAGCATCCATCCCCAGCTACCATCAAGCTGCCCACGTCCGGCACAAGCAGGCGGTCGAACCCTATTCGGAGCTTTAGTTTTGGCCGGTCGGCCCGGGTCGGGTTCGGCTCGGAAAACCGGCAGGGTTTGTCTTTTGCGAGCTTGTTGAAAGTTGAACCGGGCTGGTTCGCCTTGCGCCACGGCCACCGCATTTTAGGGCCACAATATTGAAAGCAGGAGCTCATGATTTGGCTCCAACTTTCGTCTCGTTGACACCCTATTCCCAAGCGTCCTTCCCAAACAACCTTTCATGTCGTAGTACAAAGTATGGTAGGTTCACAATTATGAAAGAAATTTATGATTTTAGCAAGCATGAGCAGATTTCTCACCGAACACGTTCACGACGAACCGAACAGGTGTGTTTTTCTTGCCACAACTGTTCGTAGCGAACACGTTCGTGTTCGCTCGAACATGTTCGTGCTCGGTTCGTCGCAGCTAGCCGAGCAGTGACGAACACAAACATGTTCGTTGGAAATGTACCCTGCAACATTTTTTTAGATCGACACTGGACATTAGCTGAACTCATTCTTGAGCTCTTCTTTAGCTAACACACCCCCCACAGCCCAGTCTAGAAGCACCAGTAGCAGTACTGCCTTCAACACTCCTTACATGGCGCAAATGTTTTCCTGAACTCCACACTAGTTTAGGGGTGTCGACATTCGGGATTTGGGGGTTTAGGAAGAGAAACCAGCACTGGCCCTTTAATAAGTGTTACTTAGAAACTTCCCTCGCAGAATCCGCCGCCCACCCAGACCATAGACAAAAGCACACGCGGCCACAGGCCGGATAAGAGGGCTTCTGGTTAGGCGAGCACGAACATGTTCTCGGCGAACACTTTTGTGCTCAAGGCGAACATCCGGGTCAATGGCCATCTCTAATCTTGAC